GGCCACTGCCGGGTCCTCAAGGCAAGTGCTGCACGATACCAGAGTACAAGCCAGGCGAGTGACGACCCCTTCTTGTCCACATCAACCAATAGTTCCAAAAGGTCGCAATTAAATGGTTCTTTCCACATCAACTACTGCAATTGATGCTTAACAAAACGTCTTGCATTAATGTGGAACTGTTCCAAAGTCCATCCACCACAAATCCTTTCACAAAACCTGGGTTGTCTTGTGCCCTTACGGAACTGTCGTCCTTCTAGGTAATTATGTATGTGGACCTGGTGTAGGTCTAGAATCTAGAAAGACTTGATAAAGGTGTTGTGTATATAAGCTATATATATATAATATATACATGCACACACACACACACACACACACACCGATTCAGACTATTAAAAAAAAAATTGTCAAAATATAGTCTTTGGACTTCTAGGGTATATGAACTGAACCACACTGGTCTTGGTTGAGCATCGAAGGCTCTTGGGGATTAGGTCCGTCTGAGCTCCAGCTCCAGCTCCCTCACGTCCTAGGAGAACGTTCCTTGCTCGGCACAGTTGGACTGCCCAGACCTGTGAGCCTTGCCTTGCCCCCAGCAAACCTGGTCAGACCTCCGGCTACGCACCTCAAAGTGTCCACCCTTGGCCACCCAACGTGTGGAATCGGTCCGACCTCCGCCACAGCACCGCCTGGATTTCACCATGTCCGCCTGGGATTCGCCCCCCGGCCGCGCCCCGCGACTTCGGGGTCCTTCGTGTCCTTCAGCGGCCGATCCTCTGGGATCCTGGGAGCTGAAACACAACCTGACGGCCTAGCCGGCCTAGCCTAGCGTCTGACGGGCAGACTGGAACATGAACCCAGAACGACCAAACGCGCAGAGAAGAACTGAATGGTGTCATCCTGGAGTTTTGAACTGCGTGATGGGCTGGCAGTTTCCCCTCTGTGTGAGGCATGCCCTGAAACATATGGAAACCTGCAGGCACCCAATGCCCCTCATTTCCTCATCATCCCACCGTGTTAGACTCGGTCCATTGTCTATTTAGGGCTGACCCCCACACCAACACAAATGCCAAAATAAGAATCAAAACCGGAAAACCAAAAAGTCTTGAAGTCTGAAGCTTAACTTTTCTTCTTGACCCATTCCCAACAGGTCATCAACTTCTCGGACCTCCACCTTCCTCTTTTCCCAAGGCTCTCGGGGAACGGTGGAGGATCCTCGCGGGGTGCAGGCGCTTCGTCCACCGGCCTCTGCTTCGGAGGATTGGGCCTGGCCGGTGGACGAAAGAGATGGCGAGTTCTGGCTTGTTCACCCTGCTTCGTCCGCGCGCGTTCCTCGATGTAGCGAGGCGTTTCGGTGCCCCCCCCCCCCCCCCTTGGGGGCCCTCAAAGGTCCCAAGGGCCTGTTTTTCTTCGGCTCTCGGGCCCCTGCCACCCCCCCCCCCCCCAACGAGGCAGACTGGGACCGGACCTGCCTGGCGCTGGCCGGGCGCGAGCCCGCCGGCCGCGCCACCGCGCTGGTGGGCCGCGAGGGTCTGGCGCTGGTGGGGCGCGACATCACCCGCTCGCAGGTCTGGGACTTGCCTCGGTCGGAGAACCGGATGGACGGGGAGAGGAGTGAGGCGCGGAGTCAGAGAGACGTCACAGACCTTCCTGGTGAAGATCCGTTTTCGGTGTTGCTGGTGAAGTCCGCATGGTGTCGGCAGGGTGGCTCAGGCCCCGACTCTGCGCCGCCGTGAGCTGTTCAATCATGTACGAGAACCTGAGGTGTGCTCACTGGTGGAAGATCAGCCCTGCTAGACCGAGGGTCTAAAAGCCCGACTTGCCAGTGAGATATCTGTGACAGGCTTGTCCTTGCCAAGGCACGGATCTTCAGGTTTGTCCTGTCAATTCATCCCCATTGAAATTTAACCACTGGCATGGCATGACAATGTAACATAACATCAGACAATTGCAGCGCAATCAGACTCAAATCCATGCCTTCGTCGCACCGGTCCTGAATCACAGCGTGGAGAAGAGACTGGACATACTTCAGCAAGCCCTTCCTGAGGACCAGTGGCGCAATGCGGGGAAAACAACGCGGTCGCATGCGGTCACAGAATGCTGTCGTCGCATGATGGGTCGGACGGCAGTTCCTCTGGGAGGCCTCACTAATTACATGTAGTGTGTATGGAAGGCGTATAGCTGGGACATATACATCGTGTCCCATCGTGTCTGCACCTGAACCCTTTCCAATCCACAACAAGGGGAAAGGTGGAGCCAAAAGGATGTCCAAACCACCGCAGACGGACAACAACATTTGCATGATTTGCTGGCACCAGGAAGGAGCTGACATACTGCTCCCGAACCAGTGCAGGTGGGGGGACTGGGTGGTTTTCTGCATAGAAATATTCTGGAGAAACATCCTAAAATGACAGTGGGCGCAATATGGGACATTCCAGCTGCCCTTTAAAGCACTGAAATCACTTCGCCATGAAGGGGTTCCAAGATGTTCCAAAGGCCATCTTAGTAGGCCATCCAAGATGTGGGTCCGGCTCCCTGGGGTTGCTCCAAATCTCTCCAAATTCGTCCCTGGCCCAGCTCCACTCCACCAAGTCTCTGCTCCAAGTAGTCCTTGGCATTGGCCGCTGAGTCCTTGCTGCTCGACTCCTTGGCTCCTCGCATGGCTCATCGCACGCGCATGGGTCGCGGCGTTCGTTTCGTCTCGCCACGGGTCCACGGTGCCACCGGCAAAACGACCGGCCAAACGACCGGAACGCCGCGACCCGACCGCACCGATCTGAACCGGATCTGAACCGGTTGGGAAGGCCGCGACCCGACCGGCAGGTGGCGCGTTGTTTCTGCTTCGAAAGCCGCATCACTGTTCATGTACCATGTAGATGTCGACATAACTACTCTACATAGGATTCCAAACATGTCGCTTGGGGGCTTTATCATTCGTCAGTCTACACTAACATCTAGATTCTCCAAACTCTGTCCGGTTGGTGGTTTGCACCAACCTGAACAAATGAGCTAATGGGATCTGGAGGCCTGGAGGCCCAGGTTGACAATACCAGCCGACCAGTCTTTCACCTCATAGGACGTCCCGCCAGGTCCCGTCCTGGTCCTGGTCCTGGGCCTTCCGCATTCGTCACGTGCAGCGCCATGGCGATGTTGTCCGCTTGCTCGAAGCCGATACTGTATTCCTCCTTGTGGTGGCGGTCATGTGGGCAACTGTAGGAAGAAAGCCGGTCCGACAGAGCTTCCTTCAATGGAAACCTATAAGCAGTGTAGGTTAGTTTGTCCATTGGCGACCCCTTGTGATCAAAAAAAAGTCGCGACGCTTAAAACATCTTGAAACCTCCTGAACAGGATCTGGCCTCTCTGGGATGCAGCACCAGTCTAGTGGATGCCATGGGCTTCAGTAGATCAATCTTCAATGGCTCGCCTCAGCACAAAAGCTCGCTCTGGCTTATTTGGCCACCCCACACAGCCCCGAGTGGAGGAGAATGCTTGCCACCAAAAGAAGAACTACCTGGCACCCCTGCCCAGTACAAGCTGCTAGGCTCTCAATTATCAATTGCGATCATCGACACATCTCAACGTCTGGGCCTTCCAGAAACCCACCGACCCACCGGTGCACGTCCATCCCTTCAGACTGGGCCGCTGATCTCCTCCAAGGTCTTGTCGAACTTGAAGGGGTGAGCCTTCACAGACTCCAAAGGCGCTTGGCGCCTCAGGCATCCGCTCTCGGCGTCCCGGACGACCAGACCGGTCGTCCGATTCGCCCAAACTAGAACTGGGTCGGCGTGGCGCATCAGAACTGGGTCTCCCGACCTGATGGTGCCATAGCGAATGGATACGAGCACGTTGTCATCGAGTCCAAAGGTATCTGTCACTTTGACCTGCCGGAGGTCCGAATGTCCGGATGTAGAGGTCTGCAAGTGTTTGGCAGTGGCAGAGCCACAAAAATGGGCCAACCGCCGCAAGAAGTGCAGCAAGAAAGGTGTACATATTGTCTAGAAATCAGCTGGTGCCCTAGCATTGAAACATATTGAAACCGCGCCATGGTGATATCAATTGCAGGGGATGAGCATCTAGAATCTAGACTTTTTTCGTGGGTTCCCGCGGCTCAACTCCACCCTCACTTGTCCCAAGTGGCATCACACGGAACCAATATGATGGGATGTGAAATGAGAGTCGGTCACCCTTGTCCCAAATCTAGCCGTCAAAGTCTGGCTCAAGGCTTGGATGCGAAAACCATCAAAAACATATCCAAACTGAACAGAACAATCTCTCATCAAGCCGTTTGTTCAAGGCATTCCATTTTTGGTCTTCTGACTTGTGCGTGCCTTGCTTGTGCTTTAAAAGCTCATCCAATAACCCTGTCGGAGTTGAAACAAAATGAAACAAACACGGCTCAAAAGACTGAGAAACGAGAAGCTACTGAACTAGCATCCACCCACTCATCCACCCAGCAATCCCTCCTCCATGGCCGCAGGCTGCACGCTTGGCAGGCTTTGGAAAGCCCAAACGCGGCTGAAAGTTGGGAGGCGGCGCGGCGGAGGAGGAAATCAGCGTCTGAACACCTTCTACAAACGATCTCCAATAGACAAAGGCAAGGTGGACTACAGAATGTATGTTGAAGTGCAATCCACTCTTTAAGTTGTCTATCTGGCCACTCTGCTACTCTGACTCTACTGCTCCAAACACAGTCGTGTCTCACATCAAGGATTCCTTTTACACTTTCTCCTTACTGCGAAGGCCAAAGGGGAATTGACCTGGAACTTACCTGGCCACCAGGGTGACAAGGTGCTCATCTGTCCTCCTCTATAGGTTTCCATAGGAGCTTGCGCCATTCCAAGCATGGGACTTCCGCTCCCTAAAAATTAGGACCAGCGCCATCTCACAAGTGGAGCTCCACCTGCCTCGGAGCTTGCAAGATTGTCCAGGTGTCCACTCCGAGAGTTGCCCTTCTAGCATCACCCCACTTGGCCCACCCTCGCTTGGCCACGTCCAGCTGGCTGTGCCTGCCAAAATAAGTAAAAGGGCGGCTTGCCCCTGCCTCAGCTGTGCCAACATCTTAAACACAATGAACCTCTCTGACACATGCGGAATCCTGAAACCGCCCAGGGACATAGTGTAGAACACCACCAACTGGAGTGGGCCTTCGGGGCCTCTGATGTACGCGTAGGCATATAGAGAGTGGGCACAGTCTAATATATAATAACCTGTATATAGAAATGAAATTAGCCCTTCTCATGAGATTCTCATGATTTCATAATCTTCATGACTTCTGCCCCACATCCAACCCGCTTGGCACCCAGCACACGCAAGAAGGGCACTTGTTGGGCTTCCCAGAGCGCGCTCGGAGCACCCGTTTCAGCACAGCGGAAAGGTCGTCAGCACAAATGGGCAAATGGTTCAGTTAACCAACGATCATACACAACTCGTCACGAAGGACATCCATTGTCTGTCTTTGTTTTGCACATTCCCAGTGAAGTCATGATCACGTGGTTCAAGCTTCTGTCCCAGCGTTCGCTTAGGTGATGTGGGAGCATTCGACTGAGGCCTCTATGATCCACATCCAGCTTGTCTCATGTCATGGCAACCCCACCCTCTCAGAACGGATCGCGCCGAGTTCTTTTGCCGCGCACACCGGTCACTCCTCTTCCGGGGGCTCCACCAGCCACCTCAGCCATAAAGCACCGCATTAGCGGCTCGATAGCCCGAAACACCTGAGGAGTCGGCCAAAAGCCACCACCTAGCGGCGCGAGAATGGCATTGGAGAACGACGACGGGCACGGATCACGGTGGGTTCCGTAGGAGACAAATCCCCTGACGGTGCCGTCATCCTCGAACGAGTCGCGAACCAGGAGACGCGCGTCGCTGACAGATCTTTGCGGCGACTACGCGGCGCTTCTGCCGCCTACGCCCAAATGAAGGTCAGTACTGAAGCGCTGTGCGCAAACGGCTTTGACCTCAGCAACACTGAGCTATTTTGTCGTCCCGTCTTCGAAGGTTTCTTCTTGGGCACTTTTTCGAGGCGGAAACACGGAAGCATGGAGCAATATGGCGCTTAGATGACCCCCAAGTCTGCGTAAAGTAGAAAAAGGATGTTTTTTGTTTGAACGGTGTTTACTGGGAGAACACTGAATTGATGTGCATGTGCATATCATATACACACAACCCCTCATCGTCGTGCGCCCTGTGTCTTATCCCTGGCTCATCCTTCACGGAGCTAAGGTTAACTGCTCTGCTTTTTCACTGCGCAGGCAACAAAGTTGGCGAAAGTGGCCCAAGCGGCAGCTTTCACACCACCTCGATCAACGTGCCGCGAAAAAGACTCTCCATGCCATGTGACCTTGTTTTCGGCACTGGGGAAAAACCAACGCGAAAGAAGCACCAGGCTCGAATCTTCGGACTCGACCAATCGGGAGACCGATTCACACGTCGGAGGCCGGCAGACTGAGCCCGAGCAATGTGCTTCACTCCCCACCCGTCCCGGCCATCGGCACGTGAAAGGGGCGCTGCACCGGCACGTGAAAGCGGCGCTGCACCGCGGCGTCCTGGAGGACCATGCTGCGAAAAGAAATGCGGGAACTAAATCATTCACTATGCTATGACCAAGCTGTCAAAATTGGTCCAGATGGAAGATTGAAACCATTTAGATGTTCCTGGTTCTTCTCTTTCAACTAACTCAAGATGATGAGCAATCGCAAAAATGGAGAAGGTCTTCTTGTCTACTCGTCTTTCTTCATGTCCACTTTCCCCTTTCCCTCCAGGTCAGTCTCTCGTTCAACCCACCCGTGCTCTGAAAACGGTTGTTTCTCATTGATCCCATATTTCATGCCGTCGAAAGTAGTGACAGAGTCACTATCAAGGCTTCTCCTTTCTGAGATATTTGGCCAACCTGACCCCTCAGTCGAGTGCCCTGAAAATCACACCTTCTGGGTCCGCATCTCTCATCAAACACCCTCGGCAAATGTTTCTGTACAAACTCAGCCATGAACACCTTGTGGGGATGTGTCCTTGGAAGATGCTCAATCCCAATGTCTAGCTGCAGCTTCCAACCACACAAAAAGAAGTCCGTTTGCAAACCTCTGCAGTACTCAACTCGTCTACTTGGTCACATCGTGACTCGCGCTCTCCTTGGGGTTCCCCAACATCAATTCCACGGTGCCCTGAGGGACGGGACCGTGGGAAGGTTCCGTCGAAAGGGGCGCGTGGGACCGAGTCGAAACGTGCCGTGGGTGCTGAAGAGATGGCACAGTGATCTGACTTAATTGATCTTAATTGTATATGGCTTGGTGCAGGAACGCCAACGATGCAGGTCCAGCTTCCCTTTTTTTCCAGGCCTGAGAAGGGACTCAGGGACTCACATCATGCAAACCACCAAACATTGCAAGTGGACTTGGGAACCCAAGATGGAGAGGGGAAGTTCCTACCCCTTGAGAGAGATAGAGTGCACCTTGAACAAACAGACCCGCCAGCAAAGCCACAAAGAGAACAAATGAACACCTTGGACATCTGATCTGCCATTTTGGGCTCCCCTCCTGTTCAATCGTTTGTTCATTAGTATCCTGCAGTGATATCAAAGCAAATGGTACAGTCTTCCCAACTCGATTGTGCCATCTGCTCAGGTCAATCATCCTTTTGGGCGGTGCTGGCCGAGGCACTTTGTTTATATATGTCTATATATTGTTTACGTGTTTTCCAGTGGCTTTGGTCATTGTATTCAGCCCTTCACTGTTCAGCCGTTCCCCTTTTTTTCTGCCCACCGAGCAGACCTCAACAGAAAACCTCCCCTTCCGTCTTCGACCAGGGCCTGGTTGAGGTCGAAGAGCACGGAGGCCAAGGTCCAGTCGGATTGATCGCCCCTTTGATGCGACCGCAGATCATGGAAGATGGGATACCTCGCGAACCCGCCGGACTCGTCCGGCGAGTCCGACGAACACGTGTGACGGGCTCCAGAGGTCTGGTGTTTGGGGTAGGTCTGGACTCCTGGTGTTTGTCCAACTCACATTGTAAGGTGGAAGATGACCGATTCATTCCAAAAGGTGCCACAAGCATCAAAACGGAAGTCCAAACGTGCGGAGTCGTCCAGAAAAACGACTTGGAAGGCGGACCGACCTCGGACCTGACCTCGGACCGGCCGCGTGTGCAACATGACTTGAATCCCACTTGACTTAAGACTTGGACGCATAGCGGCCGTGAGCATCTAAAAAAGGAACCTTTGTTTATTCTCTTGAACTGTTATAGGGTTCAGTCCAACCCTCATGGGCCAGTCACCCTGCACACCATGGAAGCTTGATATCCCTTATAAAGGGATCTGATTCCTGTGACCCGGGGTGAACCAGCATTACAGGCTTGTCACCCACATACCCAAACAGGTCTCCGTCTCCTTGCGGCCAGGTACGCACGATCCTCCTGGTCCCCCAGGATCTGCAGAGCGTCCTGGGGACTTGAAGGCAAAGGCAGCTCTCGAACTCGTTGCAAGCGATGCAGCGAGCTGTTCCCCGTGATCCTGCGACGCATCAGACGACATCCCGCCGCATCGCGACACGACCGTCGAGCGCGGACCGGTGCTGGCAAAAAGAGATCCCTGTCAGAGCCCGAGTCGGAACCCCGAAAACTGGGTTGATCAAATTAGACTGTTGAAGTGGCTAAATTCAGTGATCGGTTTTCACGGAGGCATCATTTTTGTTGCAACATGTTGGCAGCCCGGCATGAAAAAAAGAGGCCTCCCTTGTGGAGGCCGGAGAACCAGCCATCAGTCTTGGGACGAGCGTCTGACCCTGCACGTCCAGCGTCTGGTACTGGTTGGCATGGAAGAAAGCCCCTCGAATCACCTTCTCCGAGACCTCCCGCGCCGGTCGAGCGACCCTATTTTCTTTGAGCGACCGAAAAACCACCGAAAACCGCAACTCCACCAAGTCCGGCCCTGGCAAAGTCAAAGTCCACAAAGATTGAACGCTAGCTTAGACCTATAAAACCATCTATATATGGTGGTTGAACCTATTTCATGCACGTGATTTCCTCAAAGTGTGTTGTTGCTCTGTTGAATGAATCGACGCATTCGCTGTGCTGGCCAGGATATACCAGGATGCTTCGATGAAGGTCCCCTTCAAGACTCTTACAATGTAGTTCAAGTTGTCAATGTTATGTGCTCAAAAATTGGGATTTGAGCTCAGATTCGACGCAACAACACATATCTTTTCCTTGTGTGAAAACATGAGGTCTTTCGCTTCTACCAGGACGCAGGATGCCATCCTTGCACTTGCAATTCGACACTCATCAGTGTCCCAGATCCAGGCCGACACGCCCAACGTATCCAAACACCCCAAGCCCTTGCTGACCTCACCCCGTGACCTCGCTTTCTTCCTCCACTGAAGCAGAAGACCGCACCGGACCCCGGCTAGTCGTCACTCGCCACCGCCTGGTCCAAAGCGACCTCGAAGTTGGAGATGCGTCGAGCCTCAAAGTCCATCAGCTGGTAGTTGTGGCCTCCAGGTCCCGGGACACAGGGAGAGGGTGGTCCAGGGGCGAGGAGAAAAAAACAAAGGTGGTCAGGGCGGGGCAGTTGACTCATTTCACTTGGTTTCGCCTGTCCAGCGACATGGAGACTTGACGTCATCACCCATTGACAAAACCAACAGAAAGGTGTGTCTTCCGAGGAGCGCACATCAACACTCGTCCAGAACAATTTTACTTTGGTAAGGTCGGTTAGGAGCTTCCTGACATCAAATCCGGGAAAAAAAAAACTACATGCCCCGCTTCTAGTCAAATCCTGCTAGCATTTCGTCAGCCTGAACCATATCATGCGACAGAAAAGGCCTGCCACAGTAAGAGCCAAGAAACTCGTGCATAAGAAAGGCATGATTGCTGCTGGCATTCTTGAGAACGCATCTCCGATGTGAGTATGGGGCCTAATGCTCGAAAAGATGTCACAGAGGGTGAACAACTGTACAACAACTAGTGTGGAGTGGCCAGTCCCCACTTCGCCTGCAGCATGCTTCTGAGAGATGATCTGCTTGGCTTCCTCCCACCCTGGAAGACTTGGATCGGAGAGCCTTCTTTTCTTTGGTGGTCCACCTGGAGGCCTTGAGTTGCATCAACATATATATATATACCAGGACCCTCCAACAGGTGTTTCCTGGTGACAACAGGTGTCCAGAAACCACCTGTTAGGGTCTCCAAACCGCCTGTTGGAGGGTCCCGGTACATATCTTCAACCCTCTTCATCAACTTCCCACCCTTTGTATCCCTTTGTGGTTTTCACGAGTCAATCTATTCAACCTTTTTTAGGGGGACGGGTTTCCTGTTAGATTCGAGTGGAGAAACACATCCTCCCCCAAAAAAAGAGAAGGTTACAGTATTTCAAAGCTTGTCATAGCTTATCCACTGTTCCTGGGTCGGGATCCTGCTGCTGTCCGCTGTTTTCATCGCTTCCCTTCCACTTTTCCGCGCCTCGGGCTGCCAAGAGCTGGCGACTCACGTAGTTCCGGCCCAAGGAGGACACGTCACAGTGGCTGGGCCCCACCCAATTCAGGGAGAAGCCCAGGCCAAGCGAGTTGAAGGCAAAGGCAGACCTCGCCCAGCTCTGTGAGGTCACGAGGTCGCAGAGTCTGATGTGTTTCCAACGGAGGTGAGTGATGTACTCCAACACTGACACTGACCATGAAAACACCTCTATAAGCTAGAGCCCCATCCAACAGAACAGATTCACTCACAAAGCTTGCGGTTCTTCTGGAAGTCCTTGGCGCACCGGAAGGAGCTTTGTTCGAGATACATCGCGATAAACTAACTAGTGCTTCAGTCCCTTCTGCTTTGTTCCGGTGCACCAGATCTAAAAAGGCCGAAGCACCCCTTCGGCCCTTCGGCCCTCCCTGAATCTGGGAGACAAGGAGCATGCCCCCGAGAAGGTCCCCCGCATAGTTGAGGGTCGTGAAGTTCAGCTCGCCCAGCTGGATGAAAGCCGTGAAGAGCTTCCGATCCTTTCCGCGACGTGTCGACGGAACGGATGCGGGTGGAACGAAGGATGGGTAGAGTAGGGGTGGACTGAGATGCCGCGGATGCCAAAGAAAAAGAAACAAACAAATCCAGTTCTGTGATTCGCATGTTCATGTGAGAGGTTAATCCGCAGTGGACAAGTCCACGGCCAAGGAAACACAGGTTGGCCTGCTCACGACTGACAAAATTGTATGTCTTCAATGCTTTGATCTTCTACTGGGTATTAGAGTGGCTGAGAGGAGGAGCAAAAACAGGATGAACCTGATGAAGAAACGGTACTGACAGTACAATGTTACAAGAGGAGTTGAACGAAGGGGGGGATGGGGGAGGAGGCAAGCAGGAAGAAGAAACTTCCCCCGGAACCTGGTTGACAAATCCTTAAGCTCTTAGCAATTGAAAGCGAGTCTCTTCCAGGTTGCCATCCTCATTGTGCGCATCAAAGCAATGCTTGGAGTCACCTGGGACGCTCGAGCAGCGTCAGGAAACGTACTGGTGTCATAGTTTGGGGCAAGACCACCTACGAAATCATCAGGCAGGTGTATCAACGATCGATATATACAGAGACCAGAAACGACCCGAGTTCGTCCACGTCAAGCAGCTGGGGACTGACTCCTCTTGGCCGAACACCCATAGTGGAACACTCAGCTATGGAGCCCAGCCGCGGAGATTGCACACCCAATGCCGCTGGCCACGCCGCATCTAATTTAAGGCGTGTGGCACAGCATGTAGTCTGAGCAGTGGTCAGGGCTTCTGCGTCCAGATGTCGCAGTTGTTGCGTTGCAGTACCCCAACTCCTCCTGGTTGGAGAGCACATCAGCCAGTTCTGGGCCCACCGGCCGGTGACTGAGGACCCCACACACGTCGTCTTGGGGCCCGGACCGTTTGGGTGGCGCTCGGCCATGCTCGGACGGGCACCGTTCTTTGGGTGCCAAAAGCGTCGAGTTTTGTGGAGGGTTCAAGATGTTCAAAGAGAAACTGTGGACACCACGTAACCTGCTCCCAAAAGCCGCTCTTCTCATCGGTGGTGGATACTAGCAGAATTTCACCCTTTCCTCCCTTCTCCTGTAAACTCATAGCCATCAAGTCTTCAAACTTGGCTCCACTACCTGCGCCCACACCCCGCAACTCTTCCACGAGCTTGGGCACCAGCCTAGGTGCATTCACTCCGATTGAATGAATCGCAAAACGGAAACTTGAACCGTTCCTCCTCAAGTCTACGACTTTCGTGGAAAGTGCTTATTACAGTGATGGCTGGATTTAAGTAGGAATGGGACAAGTCCTCCGTGATCGGCAGATGTTCACCGACTCCGACTCTCCTAAGAATGGCATCGTTCCACACGGTTTCTGTTTGGCTCCGTCAAACCACACTTGATACGATCAGCAAGTCACCGAGAAATCAACTTTTGGGAGCCACGACGATCTCGAATCGAAGGGTGGGGACCCTTGCGATGCCCTAAAAGGAGCTGTGGACCTGGGCATGCCTTTGGCCCTATCTGTTTATGTCATGCAATCTTATTTCTGTGCTCCTTCATTTGCCACATCGACCCACAGCATGTAATTACCCAAAGCATCCCAAAGCCCTGTGTGGTGATGCCTGGAGTTCTCCCGCCCTCTTCAGCTTTGCCACTGCTGGTGTGTAGACATCAGCGCACGGAACTGCTGCTGACACCGTTCATGCTCTAGAAGCTGCTTCAGCTGCAGCATCTGGGCTGTGTCAACGGGGTCTTGTGACTCAAGACCAGGCAAATCTCAATGATTCATGAGTCCAGCTTGGCACTTTGGAGATTCTTGACGACAATTCTTCACTCTGAATCCGGTGCATATGTTTTGCGGTCTCACCGTAGCCCACGTGAAGCTCATCTACCATGAACATGGACCATACGTTCGCATAATTGCAGTAGTTTCTTCTTACCAAACTTACTCAGTTCCAATCTGTGTGTTCAACACGTCGACCTTGCAAGCACATGTGTCATCATGTGTCTACAATATGATATATATATATATATTATATACGTCAAACAATGGTTGCGAAATGTTTGTGGAGTCTCAGAATTGCGTCACCATGCACCACAAAAACTCGTCTGAAACAAAAATTCAAGCTCCCTTACAGTAGGTGGTCTTTGCCCACTTCCCCCCGTGTGTTTGATCATGCCCCGTCCTCCCTCGTCAAGTCGCATGGGCTGCCACTCGCGACCGGATGACGTCTGGATATGCGCGGCCCATGGCGAAGCCGAGCTGGAAGTGGTCCTCACGAATCCAGACTGACACGTGAGTTGAGATGCTCTGAGTTCCTTCTTCTTTCGCCCTTCCAACATCGATGCTCAGGGCACCTGCATCGCTGCCTTGGTTTCTCGGGTGCGCAATGCAGGAAGCGCTGGATGTGTTGGACTTTGTGTGGCCTGGATCTCAAAAGCTCAACCTCTCTCAGCCTGGCGTTCGCACCTCGGGGCCGCCGCGGAAGTGGAAGTCCGGGAGCAAATCCGCCCCATGTGCCTGGCGCCAGGCCGCCAGCAGCGCCAGCCATGTACGCGTCATGGCGTTGGGATGGGCTTCACCTGCCTTGCTCAGTCTAGTTTCTGGTTGATATCCCGTTGACCCATAAGAGAGCCAAAGGAGAGGTGAGAGGAGTATATCATCTTTGCTGCCACACATCAACAAAGGTGGTATGATGGGCACTGCTCTTGTGGCTGTCGTGCATGGTGTCTTCGCCCGGTGGCGGTTCACGGCTAATGCGGTGATGTCATGACCTGACCTGGAAGCTCCAAGATGTTGCAGGCAAATGTGGATACAAAAGCATCTCTCCATGCATCTGCCATGTCAGGCAAAACCGTAACACATGCATTCATGGGGACTCACATGGTTAGCATGACTCCAATGGATGGGTTCACTCGAAACGTGTCAGCCAAGCGATGTCTTCATAAATAAGAAAGGGAATCACACGGGGGCTCCCAAGCGGTGCTAGGCCCGCGGACAATCTCCAGGGAGCCTGGCTCGAAGCCACGGCCAGCGAGCACCTTGGGCTGACGAGTCGGGCGGGAAAGGCCGATCGGGGAGGTCCAAAGGACGTGGCACGGGGGGGCCTTGCGAATATATACAGAAATAGCAGGCATGGAGCTGATGCAACAGCTCCATGCGCAAGCAACAGTAAGTAGGAAGGCCTTCATTCTTGACCTGTTGCCATGTTCGGAGCCATGTATGTCTGTCACAAAGGCAAGCATCTGGTCTGGATGGCACTAAACTCTAAAGTGCCTAAGGCTCTGAAAGGCCACCACACTTAAGTTGCATAAGGAAACACCCACCGCTGGTTGCACCACAAGAGGCGGTCATCGAAGGACTTGAGTACAAGCTTTAGAGACACTCGAAAACCACCCAAAGCGCCACCGGCTTCAGCCCCCCCCAGCTCTTCGGTCGGCTGCCAGGTCGGTCCAAGGCGCTCCGGCCGGTTTCACCTTGGACTCCCAAAGCGCCATCTGCTGCTGCGCCGCCGCAGCGTCCAAGCCACGGAGGTCCAGAAAGGCCGCATCTAAGGACCTCCCGGGTCGCATCCAGCAGACGTGACGTGCCGTCCACCCTTTGATCATTAATTCATACTAATGAAGACACATGGAGAACGGCAAGGGTCATTGTGGGTGATTGTCGTACCTAGCGGACCTAGCGCAGAAGAAATAGTGAAAGATGGTAACTTTCATGCCGTCTGGAGAGGCTCTGATGTCTTACGAGGAAGCCTTGCCGCAGCAGCTCTGGCCTGTCTGGAAAGGCATTTGCAGCATCCCTTGGCTCAACAGGCGGTCTTTCCCAAAAGGGGAAACATCCCTCTCAAACAAATCGCGCAATTGCCCAAATTAGGCCCTGACCCACATGCTTACCTGTTCTGTATATCTACATCCGTTCTGGTCACCTTCAGTTCGATCGCCCCGTTGCTCATCGCTACGTCGCTGTTCCGAGATGCTGGGAGGTGGCGTAATGCAAGGCAACACGGTTGGCCAAATCGGACTGCTGCACCTCGCCCTGACCAGCAGTGGGCACGGCGTGGCTCAAAATTGGAGCTTGAGCTAACCATAAAGACCCTGGTGAGTGTTGTTTGGGAGGGCTGTGGACAAAGTCTCCAGGAAAAAAACACATGGCAATCGATTTGATTGCTTACTATTGCATATCATTGCCTTTGTGCAAGTTCTAACCCTTGTCCTTTCAACATTAATCTGCACCCTTGCCGCCACAGAAGACCACTTAATCCATGCCCCAACCCGCCACTACTAGGCCATCGACCCTCATCTGCTCGAAGGCATTCTGCTGGGCGGAAGCACCTCAGATGCTTCGGCCTTGAGCCCACTTGGTTCTGAGACGGGCCGCAACGGATGGAGTCAACTCACCTGTTCGCCTACGGATATCGATGGGAGACGAGTGTCCGGCACACCGTGGTGATGGCTTTTGGATCGGTGGGCTTCTAAGTGCAGCGGTGCACAGTATACCCAAACCTGCGGGCTTCCCGTGCATTGTCTCCCAAGGAAAACAGTGACATACAGCAACCATCGCTGGTCAAATCACATCTGTGCTGGGCCCACACTCTGGGCTGCCAAACGTGAATCCAACGACGCATCGGGCGGTAGGACGATGCCAACCTGAGCAATCGAAGCGTGATAGGAGAAACCGCTGTCCTCCTTTCTATGCAAACAGTCTGGGAAGTGCACAGCTGCTGTGCTGCCTTCAGTGGGCCTTCTGCCACCTAAGACTCCCGGCATACTGCAGTCCAGCTGAGCTGCGGAGCAGGGATGGTGCCCACCACTCCTGCATCCAGCGCAGCTGGTCATCACATGCCATTCGAACCGCACGGCCGGTCCCGTCCTCAAACCGCACGCCGACCTCTGCCATTGCCAGCTGAGGCTGCCCATGTCGGACCATCATCCCTGCCGACTACAGTGGAGGGACAGGTGGCGACGTCTGGTTTTTACACCAAGGAGTGCCGTTCACGCCTACGACGCCCAAGACCATGTCCTCAAAAGAAGTGTACCTGAGTCTGAGGCCCCCCTTCCAGCCAGAATGGTTTTTCTCCTCAACGGCCAAAATTCATGCTCGTCTTCTTGTGGAATGGAAACACACACGCGCGCACTCGTCGAGGAGAATGAGAACCGGCGCTCCACGGCCGGGCAGCTCAAGGTTCCGGACCTCTCCACGGCCGGTGTCTCAAGAACATGTCTCGCCCGCTGGTCTTGCACGGAGCGTGCAGAACCAAGAGGGGGTCAAGAGAAAGTTCCAACGTCCGAGTTTGAGGTCCACACCCAGAAATGCATGCCTCAGCGAAAGGTACTCCAGATTGGCCCAGAACTTCTGCCTGTGATCCTGTAAGCCTTGTTAATCGTTGTTTTTCCACCGTTCAAGTCCTATAGGCACCACAACGTGCGCACGTCTATGTACACCGATGCGTAAACAGCGTTCGTAGACTGAGCTACCAAACCCAGATGCCATGCCAGCATGCGAGCCTTGAGACCTGCCAGGTCTAGCAATTAAAGCCAAAATCCGGGCCAACCTGTTGGGAAAACTGCGGCGATGAATAGGCTTCACAATCTTTACCGCCTATATACATGGAGCGCTTGGTAATGAATCTAGAGACCGTGGGCTACATTAGGAGCTCACTGCGCTCAAAGTGAGCTGAAAAAAAAACCGTTCTAAAATCATTATCCTAGCTTGAAATCACAGCAAATCCAAGCGGTGGCTGTCATGTACCCAACATGTGCTCATGTATATATATTTATGTATAAATGGTTGTATCTTGTGCATGCCCCTTTTTAACAGCTGCATTCTTACTTACAGAGTCTGTAAGTGTTTTTTGGTGTATACAAAGCCCATGTCTGAGCCGCTGTTATGCGCGACGTCATGCAGCCACGTGCAGCCCACTTGCTTGTGCGTGTATGTAGTGGAAAGCACTTGGACAAGTGGTCAAAGTTGCAAAGGGGTCTAGCGCGGATCTAGCGCGCTTCCCTGCCAGTGCCTGAGGCCACCAAACGTCTGTGATCAAGAGCACGCTTTGCTTTGTGCCGGTTTACAACAAGCTGCTTGCAACTTTTCCTGACTTGTACCTATGGGACATTGCCCTGAATACAAGCTAGTCTCCTCTGCCCTGACAAGCTGCCCTCGGCACTTCATGCCTCAACAAGTTTAGTTACTATAATATATAGTATGTGTTGTTTGTTTATCTGATTATCTTATCTAAGTTACCTAAGTACTTGATCCTAGCGCCAAACCTAGCGCGAACCTAGCGCAACCCGGCGTTTTGCTAGCCCGACAAGGATGACAAGGTAACATATCCAAGTTAAACAACAAAATACCAAGCGGTGGCCAAGCTGTTTCTGAACCTGTGGGAACCTTCCTTACTTAATACATATTACAATTTGTTCAACTCAAATGTTTTTGGGCAACGGAGTTGATCTCACAACCACGTGGTCAGTTGCCAGACTGAGGACTCTGGCCTGTGGTCTGGGCCAGCCGTGCCGAGGCTTCCGCAGCTGGCAGCCCCATTTGCAGGGTTGGCCTGACAAAGGGCGAGCCCTCAACGCTCTTCGCGGTCAAAGGAGTGCCTGCCTCTGTCATCCCAACATGTTAGAAACATAAAACATTCCTATCTATCTTGGCCTTGCTATGGGTGGTGGTGGTTCACTTTGCTTTGTCCAAGGCGCTTTGGTTTTTCCTGTACTTTGCCCCGTTGGAGTTCCCGTGTTCGTACCACTTCTGAGGCCAACACAAATCTCGCAAGAAGCTGTCCAAGTCCTCGGTTGTATGCAGGCTTTCTTGAGCCATCACCCCCCCCACCACTTGACAGGCCTTTCGTGGGGCAAAGCTGCAGATAGCAACCCCACCTAGTGATCGAGCCATGCACCATGTTGCACCGCTCCGGGGGAGCCCCCTCCAACCTCTCCACTCGGATCCCGATCCCCGAGCCGCCGGGCCGATCTCACGCTGTGGCCCACCTCGTCCGACGTCGGCACCGTCCGGCCGAGCCGTCGTCCGCCCCCACCGTCCGCTGAGGGCGGCGCACGCAGGATCGGCGAGCGCAGGCCGGTGTCGGGAAGATAGTCCTGGAGGCGCCGGTAGGCCCCAACAAAGCGGGGTTGAGGTCGCATCGAAGCAATCGAAGGGACGAACCCTGCGAGTTGGTTGATTTGGGCTATTTTGGTGGGACCATGCCCTCTCCAATGCTGAGAAACACCAGACCTACCCCGACTGCTGCAGGCTCAAAGTCGATGCATCTGAAGTTGGCAGGCCTAGTTTTTCACTACTGGTCTTGGGGCCTGACAGGAACAAGTCTGTTCCGTGGCAGCCCTGGTCTTGCAGGAGTTCAAAACTCTAGGTTCACCACTCCCCATCATGGCTGTCATGGCATGTCCTTTGCCATTTCCCGCAGCCGCGCATCCAGCCGGGCCCGTAGAGCCTCTCATGGACATTCGCAACCCAGTCCCATCAACCTCAATCCCAACTGCTTCTTGGGAGTGAGTCTCAACCAAAATGGGATCTACATCTTTGGCTCAAAATCCTTACTCCAACCTCGGACAATGAACAACTCTTTCTCCACTCTCTTCTCCCCTTCTTGCCTGTACCACTTCAAACTCCCGCGCCAGCATCCCGCAGCGTGGCTCCTCGGCCGCGGAACGCTGCTCGGAACGCGCGCGGAACCGACCAGCACCGACTCGCGTCCGGTTCGGCCGACTGAGCTGAGGGACGGAATGCTGGCAAAGCGCCACGTAGTCCAAGGAGGTGGCCAGCAGAGATAAACCTCACAGCGGATGAAAAGGAACAGCGGATGAAACGGTTCTCGAAGTTTCTATAGAAACTCACCCATTTGAAGGCTGGGTGGTCCAAACGCGCGCTATGAGGGGGAAAAAGATCAGGCTGGGTCTGGGTGTGGGCCTTTGAGCGGCTGGAATCGGCTTGGATATGACTCGGAGCGTGCTTGTGGAGAGCTTGCTCGTGCTCAGGTTTGCCCATGAAGATCCTAAAGGGTTCACAGGTGCATGGAGATGGAACTCTCTCAATGATGCTTCGAGATCTTGTCCTAACTTGGGATTGCCTCCTGAGTTCTGCTGCCGGTGCCAGTTACCGCCTCCAGGCCCACAGACCTACCAGATTTCTTGCAGATGACCCGCCTAAATCTTTGATGAGCTCAAAGGCTTGCTTCTCCAAAGCGCTCCTGAGCCATCGCGCCAAGCTGGTTCAATGGAGAGGGACTGTGAGGTCTGTGGCTTGCATGGCTACTTTGTTCCTAGTAGCGTTCTTGCTCCTAGTAGCGATGCCCTTTGCTCCTAGTAGCTTCTTGTTACTAGTAGTAAGGCCAGGAGCCCCTAGTAGCGTATGGGAACCATAGTTGGTGACTTCCATTGATCGCTTATATCCACAATCTCAATCCACCTCAGCGAATCTAGCCCTCCATGCACACACCTGGGCCGGCAAGTCCCCCCCAAAAAGGAACAGGCCGATCCAGCATACCCAAAGATCAGTCCAAAGATCTATATATGATTATATATATATATGATATATGTAGGATGATGGACGATTGCGCCTTCCTTCTTTTCCATTCCTCCCCGTGAGGATCCGGACTCTGCATGGGCCTCGCGTCCGCAGTGATCAGAGGACCCTAAAGGATGGCTAGTAGTAACAAGAAGCTACTAGGAGCAAAGTGCATCGCTTCTAGTAACAAGTGCCTTACTAGTAGTAACAAGAAGCTAGTACTGTGAATATCGGGCGTTGAGCTGCTGAGCTCGTCCTTGATGGCCCGAAGAGCCGGGTGCTGAGGGTTTAGACAACCACCGCATCTGGCCAAAAGCTTTGGTCCAAACAAGGAAGCTCGGAGATGAGAAGTACATAGAAGTACTACATCTTGCTGATGATCTTGCCATGCTTGTTGGATGCTTGTTGGATGCTTTGGGTGCCATCGTGCTTTGGTCACCCGGGTTGGTCCCCGGGGTGGGCGCACAGAGACCCGCGCACGTTCACTCCCCAGTGCGCCTGCCCAATGGTCTCGGCTCTGGTCGGCGAGGTTGCCAGCCACTCATGCAAGGCCTCACACTGGGATCGTGCAGCGGTGCAGCTGTTCATTCATGAGGCCATTGCAAATTGTCCTGAACGGAATTCAATGTTCCATGGAACCACTCATGGGTGAGTGATCGAACGCGTCAACTACGCCCCACAGAAGCTGGCTCCAGGGGATAGTTTGTAGTCTGTCTTGTTTCAAGATCTTTGATGATCTATTGGAAAATTCAAGCATTCAGTTTTATGCCGTTGCGTTCTTCTGAGAGGGCGCCATCCGTTTGAGGACCTGGTTTCAACCACTGTGACGCTGTCAAAACCCAAAATTCTAAAACTTGTGACTTGTGACTTGTGACAGTTCCACTTGATACAGCACAAACAACTAGTACTGCAACGTTCTTTGGTCCACACTGTCCACACGTCCATTTTACAACATACCCTCCCCCATGTTCTCTCCAAGAAACTTACACTCACTTCTGAAGAATGAGCTTGGAGATGGGAAATGCTTTGTGGAAGGCCAACTGTCCTCTACAAATTGGAGTCCCAACTGTCCGGCCTGGAACTCGTCCACCCCGCAGGAGCTGGCACACTGCGGCAGGTTCTGCGCGCATGGCAGCATCCTTGGGGCAGACGAAGCGAACGAGGCAAAAGGATCGAAGCGAATGCCTCGATGAGCTTCCGGGCGTTAAAGGCAGTAGTCCGGCACCTCTCGAGAAGCACGTTCCAAAACAAAACCATGAGCATGGCTCGGATGCTCCGACATGCCAGCCACCTGATCTCAGCTCCCGTTACCACTTAACATCTTTGTGAGTCTATAGTCTAAATTCCGAGCTGTTCTCTCCTTCTTCTCCCTCATGGCATGAGCGTGGCGTTGTTTGGTTCTCCTCTGGCACCACATCCACGCCTTGTGTGCATGGCACGGCCACTAGCAGGCCCAACTGGGCCAGGTGCGCCATCATGGCGTCAAGTCATGGCGAAGCTGACGCCGTGGTGGCCTCTGAGGCTTATGCGGCATGCACCTTAGGGGTCCTTAGGGCACTTGAGAAAAAAAAGAACGAAACACCACCACACCGGGTAGTGAGAAAGGAGATCTCTTTTTTCTGAATCATTCTCAACCTGCTCCTGCAAGAATTCCCTCCAGGTCAAGGCTTTCATGTCCCCAAAGGTCAACACTGGCCGAGGCCATGCAGTTCCTGGATGCAAGCCTGGAAAGTGCTCTGAGCAGAAGAGGCAGTCCGGATGGTTTTCTGAGCATATGCTCAAAGTTGACCCCCATGATCCAATATGTACCTGGTGCACATGGGCAAATGAGGCAGCACGATGTGGTTTTCTGCCTAGCACTGAGTACGTGAGGTAGCAGGGTACGTAAGCTTGCTCCTGCCAGCACTTTTTGTTGCAAGCTCTTGAAGATTCTGTTCTGAAAAAATATGCATCCATAGTTGGCATGGTTCCATCATGTCCATCTCGGGATTGAGAGCCAAACTCAGGTCTGGCAGCCGGTCAAAGCATGCTCACACTCGCCCTTCCAGGCAAGCCTACCGTGAAATCGGAAAGCAACCGACCCCACAACATCTCTTGCACAACAGCGTGCGTCCCTCCCTGGCTGGGATGTCGGGTTTGTAACTGAAGAACGCTGACCTCACCCGACCCGGGCCTGTGCGCGTGCTCGTGTTCGAGAAAACCTTCCAAAAATGTGCGTGTGTGCCCTTTTACTTGCCTCGTTTAAAAGACCACCAAATTGGTCTCCTTGATGGAAATGTCCTCTCATTGAATCTCACGATTGCCCAGTGTGACCTTTGGTGAGAACCCTTCACGCCTCTCAGCCCTTTCTCCACTTGGACGAAACCATTTAGAACCAAGGATGCCGCCTGGTGGATGCCTGGTGGACTCCATCACATTGAATGTAATCAACGAAACATGGCACCTGCCAGAAACAGGCCATGCTGGACTTGTCTCCAGCAGCCGCCTCAGGGGACTCAGCGGGAAGATCGGGTGCTTCCACCGCTGAGGCCTAGCAGGCCGAAGGAGGCTTTGAAGACTCCAGTGTTCCAAAGCGCATCGTTTTCGGGTCCATGTGCAAGCTGCTATGGGAGTTTGTGCTGGAGCACTGCCTGAGGGTTTGAGGCTTAGCCTGCAAACCAGGGATCGGAATAACTGGTGGCAACACTGGCACTTGCGGCGATTGTTTGCAATGTTGCTTTTAGGTTGAGGTTGGCTTCTTGGGAGCGCATGATTCAGAGCTCCCGGTCATTTCTTGAAGTGCCAGACTGCTAAGAGGATGCTTCTTTGAGCAAGGCAGCTGCCTGAGAAAACGCAGGTTCACTGGTAGTCATTGCCTCAGATGCCTGACAGGTGGAGACCATGCAGGCTACAGAAATTGACAGAGTCTTTCGACCTTCCACTTGGGAGCAGGGTGTGATGTCGCAAAAGTCTGCACTTACACCAAGAGAAAATCGGACCAAACACCGAACTGATCCTCAAGTTCCAGGGCCAAGTGCCATCCTTCACCAGCTGATTTCTGGGATCCATTGCTTTAGCATGCATAGCATAACTCCTATTGAACCACTCAACCACCCTGAGGATTTCAACGGTGACTCTCAAGCACACCCGCCGCGGACCTCCCAGCATCTCATGATGGGAGGCCCTGCGCGGCTGCGGCACCTGGGCGAGTCGGCAGAAACGGAGCGTCGCCCGAGGAGCACGGAGGTCGGTGAAGCTCTGCTGTGGCGCCTGCTGTTAACCACCAAGAGGTTCTCTTCCGAACACGGACGGTGCTGCTCGGCTTTGGTTTTGGAGTGGCACCTTGGCCTAGGGTTTGGGCGATGCCTCTTCCCTTCGGAGAGTTGAAGCGCGAGAGCACAGCTTTCCAACCCGCTATGCTGATGCTCACTGCATCAGGTCAGCTTGCTGCTGCCCTCTCCCATTGACTTCGAGCTTTTTGCTCGCCCGACCTGTCCCGGTTTGCTCTCTGAAGTTGGTGTTATGCGTACAAGGGTAGATTTAAAAGGAAATGATTAAAAAACTGGTCGGGCGGGGATCTCTAAAACGTGCCTATGGCATTCAGCTAGGGTTTGGTTTCCTTCGTTAATTTCTAAGTCTAGTTATTCAATTCGAGAATGATGTCTAGCTATGTGTATATACACTCTCTCCCTCTCTCCTCTCTCTCTCTCTGAGGCACCGCACCCCAATTGATCCTTCGGATTCGGAGACGGATTCCCAATCCTGGCTTCAGACCGAGGATCGGAACGAGAATCGGCCGGACGGTCAATCAGGGAGACGGTGTAGGACTGTGGATGAATAAAACTAGATATGATATATATATATATATGTGTGTGTGTGTTAAAAAAAAGGACTGGAGATGTCGAACTATTCTGGTTGGGGTCATTTCAGGGAGGGGTCTTCTAAATAGTGACATAGTGGTTTCTTAATTGAAATCCATCGTCTAGTTTACATGACCTGCAACATCCTGCAACTAGTACCTGCAGCTGGTTGGTCGAGGTCATGGAAAAGGACGTGTTTTGTGGGATCTTGGGTTGGTCATTGTCTTGCCAGGTGTGCATATGGACCCCATGGAGAGGGAGAAAAAATAATCACATATATATATATATATATATGTTTTTTTAATTGTAACCATTCCCTCTCCATACACCGAAGACTGGGTGGAAGTAGTAGCGTTTGCACTGCAGAAATCTCCCGCCCTGGATCTTTGGGTCTTTCCCTGTCCCAGCAACTCTGTCCTCTCGAACGCGGGCATCTGTGGGCACCTTCCACAGGGACCTCTGCATCACATCGGATGGGCTTGGTGCACGTATCCCAGCGGCCGGGCAACGTCGAAGCAGCGCACAACAGCTCAAGTACAGACTACCGCCGTGTTGTGGACGGGGTTGTGATGCACACCCACCAAAAGGGATCTCTGGCAACAGAAACCAGACATCCAAACTCCATTGAGGGTCTTCGTTGTTCTTGACGAAACTGAACAATGTTGAATTGAAAGCCAATGAAACAAGAAAAGGCCACCTTAAAACAAAGAAACTCACCTCAATCACCTCAACTGGTACCAAGAATCCGCCGTGTTTTTCCAGAAACAGCCTTTTGCTCCACCTCCGGGCCCCCCGGACCGTGGTGTGCCGGGAGGATTGGGTGGTAGCGCGGACTCACTGCCGCGTTCCGTGGAGCCTCAGTGGCGTTTCCGAACCGGGGGAAGCTGGGGCGAAACAGTGATTTCTTGGGGCCGGAACATGAGTAGAGCGTGGGAACCAGTTCCAAGCCGACTTCGGGTCAGGTTCACTGTTCGAGGCGGGGGAAGTGTAGAGGTTTGGATGGCATGAGAGGGGGAACCAAAGATTCTAGTTCTAGGATTGTATAATCATCCAGTCCCTCTTTAGAACCACTGTCACCGCCAAAATATATCATGGTATATCTCTCTATTGTAAGGTGTGGACGTGTGCGTCCTCTGTTGGGAGAAACCGTGTGGCATCGTATGGCCAATTACCACTGACTTGAGGAGTTTGCTTTGGCGACCCCGAGCTTGAACAGCCGAAAGTTGCTCAAAGAGCACGAATCATCCGCCAGGGCACTAGGATGGCTGGAGCAGGCTGAGTGGTCGCTTCTCCCCTTGCGCAGCAGGAGCTTCCGTTTGCTAAAGGCAAGTGGGTGGGGCATGGATCGCCGGCCTTTCGCGGCCCCTTCGCGTTTGCAGAAAAAGACCACAGGTTTGAAACAAATGTTTCAAGGCCACGGCCATGGATTGGCAAACCCCTTCCAGGCACTTGCGCCCTTTCGCAGGCCTACCGCCGGCCTTTCGTGGCCTTTTCGCGAAAGTCCGTGTTTCTGTTCGGGAAACACGGATGCGTTATTATGCACAGTATATGTAAGTCTACGTTGGCACATGTCTTTCGCCGTCCTACCGCCGGCCTTTCGCGGACTGCAGTGTCCCTTTCGCGAACACGATTGCTTGAACATTTCATCTCAATTCCTTTACTGGCAATAATGGACGGCCCTCGGCTGGATGCGGTGTGATGTAAACTTGTAGGCTGCCAATGGGTCACTCCAACAATTTCCCTTCCCTCCGGAGTGCCATGGTCTCCTGAAACAGGGTCAGACCGTTATAAACTAGACCATTGTTCCTCAACCCAGGCTCTGTTTTTGGGGTGAGAGAGAGGGGGTGGGCAATCGCTGCACCCGGACCCAGGCTATCCGGACCCACTGCTGGACCGCACAGCTGCTCGGCCCCGCCTCGACCACCGCTTCGCCTCGCAGCTTGACCTTCCGCGCTGCGCCGATGCGGCGAGCCGCAGTTCATGCAGATCGAAGAGCGTTGAAAGGCCCCGCAGTGTTTTCCGCAAACAGTGTGGACACACGAACGGGGTTCTTATGGTAATGGTGAAGCACCGGTGTACAATCGAGGTGTTTGGGGTCTCAACAGCCGGGATCAGTTAACATCAGTGGGTTGATGTGCACAACAGCTTCGCCCTCCCACGGCCAAGCCAACTCCGACTGAGGGTCCCTCACTTGAAAGAGACTTCATCCGACTGAGGGGCGAGCTGGTTCTGCATCCGCTCGGGGTCTACTAGCCATAAGCCATCAGGTGTCCGGGCTTGGAGCTTTCGACTGTCCCCCTTTCTCGCAAGCGATGCCCGCCATCAATTGGAGTTTTTGAGGCTTCAGAGCCATCAGGTTTGTTGATCTCAAAAAGCCACACAAAGCCGAAGTCATCACCCCTGCAGAGCCAGTGGGTAGGGGTCTGACAAGTATAAAGCCAGAGTTAAGTCTTTTGAACTCTGGATCCCAGACGCTTCCTTGTGACATGTGGGAGCGGGGGGGCCTACAAAATGGTGAATGCGAGTCGGTGATCATCCATAAAACCCTCCAAACATTCTCGACTCGCCTGCCTCTTCCTCTTCCTTCAAAGGGCCCAAGGGCATAGACTTACAAGAGTCCATGGCCTGACGCGAGTCCATGGCCGAGCCCTAGACAATTTAAGAAACGTGGTTCTGAGATAGACAAATGCCAGGCCAAGGATTGATAAGCTGTGACCACTGGTTCCCCCGTAGTCAATCGCAGGACAGACTGGAGCCTCAGGAAGCTACCCAGTGCGTTTGTTCTACCAACAGCCCTTGGTTATATAGTCTTCCGAGTCTTCCCAACATTTCTACGAACATCCACATGCTAAGCGAGCCGGATCCAAGTCTTGATCAGCCTGGAATCCCCCTATTGCTTTGGGATTCTCCAAGGAATCTCAGCTACTGGTCCAGGTAGCTCTTTTCCGCCCATACCTCTTCTTCGAATGGGACGTGGACTCAAAGTCACCCTTTAAAACATAGTAAGTATCCTTGAGTGAGGGTTCTCTGCTTCAAGATCATGCTTACGGTGTCCCACACGCGAGTGCGCCGCTAGATCGCCCGTCCTCGGTGTGAGTACTCCTCACATCGATCGCTAGATCGCCCTCCGTGTGGGTGCTCTTCACTGAATCTGCGGCGCATGCGGAGGGAAAGAGTCTGACGGTCGAAGTCGGAATGGGAGGATGGCAATGGCACCGGCGAGCCCCGAATCCGATCGGCACACGAAGCCCAAAGCGTATCTACATCAATGTCTCTGAAAGGTCCGAGAAGAAGGAAAAAATGCAGATTTCATCATTTGTGCCTGTGGGTGAGTACTCGATATCCATGTGAAGACCCCCATCACGAAACTCGATCAGACCGGTCAGCCCGCTGTTGACACGACGAGCACGTGTTCTTCGACCGCCGCGTCCACCTGACCGATCTGGCCTCGGCGCACGAAGCGAGGGGTGCCTTCCTGACTCCTCTCCCGGCGAAAGCCTGGGCCGTTCGCCGCGCAGGGCTGGTGGCGTCGAGGTGCACACGCCGTGTCGTGGGTGGTCGGACTCGTGGGTGCGGCCGGCCCGGCCAAAGAGGTGGTCCTTCCCGGCAGGTTCGGAGACGAACGAAGCTGGTTGCGGGATGTTGCCGAACTCGATGTCTGCGATGCCAGTGGCCAGTCCGTTTGGACGGGCACCCCTTGCTGCGATAAAGGTCAAAAGAGAAGTTATCTACTTACAGGCAACCAGGCAAGCTATATATATATATGCATTCATACACCGTAGACGGGCATAGATAGGACCCACCAAATCGAAAGCAATAGAAAGGTGGCCACATGTGGCCACTATATAACATAGGATATTATGTAATAAGTGTATAACCATATATATATATATATATATTACACCGCTTTCAGAATAGATGGCTATATCCGGAAACGAGTAGATGGCACCAGAAAGTGCCAAAAGCGCCTGCGGAAAACCGTGATAAAATAACCATATATACCTATGCATCCTCAAGCATAATAAATGGCATTCCACCCATTCACAGAGTAGACTTTCGCCATCTTCTGCAAAGAACACTGATATAAGTCGTTGGTTTTTGTAGACAACCTCCCTGTTAAATTCCAATTGTTTTTAGTTAATGTTCTTCTCTTTGAACTGTCTTTCTCTCTCCTTCTTTCAAATTCTATCTCTCTCTCTCTCTCTCCTTCTCTTCCTTTCTCCTTTGCTATCCTTTCCTTAATGTCTCCTTTCCCTCTCCTTGGATGCCTTTCTTTTCTTTCCTTTCCTTCATTCACTTCTCCTTTCTCTATCCTTCCCTTGCCTTTCCCGTCACCTTTCCCTTTCCTTGCACTTGCGATTGAACCAATAACAGAACACCGCACGATAATAGCCCAGTAGATGGCACAACCGTTGTGTGGAAGATGATTAGGATGGTTGGGCCAATAGATACTGCCAAGTAGATGGCGCAACCCTTGTGTGAAAGATGATAATTATGGTGGCGCCTATAGATGGCGCAACTCATTTCCCTATGGTCCTTCTTGTATCTAGCATGTTCCTTTTTTTCATCTCCTGTTGCTTAATTCTGTTCACTTCTCCTTTGCCTCCCCTTCCCTTCCCCTTCCTTTTCTGGACTAGTCTTTCCATCTACCGTATTTCTTTGAGTTTGTCTTTTGTTTGCTTTCCTTTCCTCACCTTTGCTTTCCTATCCGTTCCCTCTCCTCTCCTTTGTCTTTCCTTTCCTTCATTCACTTCTCCTTTCTCTATCCTTCCCTTGCCTTTCCCTTCATCTTTCCCTTTCCCTGCACTTGCGCGTGAACCAATAACAGAACACTGCACGATAATAGCCCAGTAGATGGCACAACCCTTGTGTGGAAGATGATTAGGATGGTTGGGCCAATAGATACTGCCAAGTAGATGGCGCAACCCTTGTGTGAAAGATGATAATTATGGTGGCGCCTATAGATGGCGCAACTCATTTCCCTATGGTCCTTCTTGTATCTAACATGTTCCTGTTTTTCATCTCCTGTTGCTTAATTCTGTTCACTTCTCCTTTCCCTTCCCTTCCCTTCCCTTCCCCTTCCTTTTCTGGACTAGTCTTTCCATCTATTTATTTTTATGTTTCTTTTGTTTGCTTTCCTTTCCTCACCTTTGCTATCCTTTCCTTAATGTCTCCTTTCCCTCTCCTTGGATGCCTTTCTTTTATTTCCTTGCCTTCATTCACTTCTCCTTTCTCTATCCTTCCCTTGCCTTTCCCTTACCTTTCCGTTTCCTTGCGCTTGCACTTGAACCAATAACAGAACGCTGCACGATAATAGCCCAGTAGAACCCTTGTGTGAAAGATGATTAGGATGGTTGAACCAACAGATGGCGCAACTCATTTCCCTCTCCCATTCCTTCTTGTATCTAACATGTTCCTTTCTTGTTCATCTCCTTTTGCTTCATTCTGTTCACTTCTCCTGTGCCTTCCCTTCCCACATCATTGGAAAGGTGGCTTGCGCCATCTAATGTCGTGCTTGATAGCGGTCTTTCACGAAACGGATTGTAAAAGTAGATGGCGCCAAACCCATCCCCGACTAGTAGTTTCCCATTCATTGTCACGGCTTTTCGCCTAACATGGCTTGCGCCATCTGCATCTGGGATTTTTCGTTCCAGAGGCGTTTTTCCCTATACAATAAATGGCTCAGTACAAAAACCTGAGCCAAGTTTTCTGACCCCAGAGTATATTTCCAAAAGTGGATTGACTTTTCTTGGGGTGACCATGTACGTTTGGAGAAGACTCACCCCTTCTGCATGGCCGCCACCTCTGTAGCTGATGACATCTTGGACGCGGCCCATGTAGGTGTTCAACGAGATCTGCAGGCCGTGCGGCGGTGAGCCCAAACATCTGCTAAAGCATTGCTGCATCAGTGCAACTCAACCAAGCATGGGAACAAGCTAAGGTGCGACCATTGCCAAAAAGGATTCGACGCGAAAACCGAAGTGGATCGAAATAGGAGAGGCCCTTTGCTGGACAAGGCCGAGCCCATTGTGGGACGTCCATTCTGTGAGATGTGTGTGGGGGCTTCTCCCCTCAGTGCCCCGAGACGTCAGCACTGCAGTAATGCCATGTCTTCTTCTTGAATCTGCTACTGCATAGCTCCCTTTCTGCCGTCCTCTGACCAAACAAGAACCAACAAGAACCAATATTTAAGGAAAGTTGGGCAAATGGTTTCGTCCCTGCTGATTCTATCATTCCATCAACTTTCTCCGAGCCCAGGGCATCCAGCTACCACTATAGCTGGCAACCAGTGGTCCCAAAGACTAAAACCATGGACTTCGAATCCCGTGTTCAAATATATAGTGGCCACTTTGGGATCCACCCTTCGTCCTCCAACGCCCTCCGTGTGGGTATGTCACGGTATCTGAGACTTGGACCCCACGGGGGGGCCGGGCTTGGACCGGCGGCGAGTGGTCAAAGCTCGTCGAATCTCGTGCCACTGATGTTTGAAGAGACTCCATCATCTTCCCACAGAGACTCGTCCTGGTTCATCTCGGAAAAAAACGGATGAAAATTCTTCCTGCCCGCAGGTCCTGCGCCCGCCCAGGTCCTGCACTTCCTCTCCTTCCCTTTCCTGCCTGGCTCTCCGACTTCTTGGCCACGAAGCTGCCGCGCCGCAGCTGGGTGCTGCTGCGTCGGGTGCGCTTCAGGTCTCCGCCTGGCCGGGCTCTCCGTCGCCCAAACGATGAAAGGGAGGTCATATAGATATATAGTATGGGTTCAACATCAGGGCGGTGCAGGCCATGCCATCCTCCGCTAGGTGCTCTCATCCCATCTTTCCTCTTTTGGTGGCACCCCTCCCACACTCAATCCCTCCCATTTCTCCAAGCCTTGCTCCACCTCTCCAGCAAGGTTTCGCCACATGGTGTCGAAGGCTGGCATCTCCCGTTTCCGCTCCATCTCCAGAAGCAGCTCCTGGGTGAGAGCGGGGGCCATGAGTTGTTGGAAAGTTGCTGCCCCATGTGTTGCCATTGCGATCTGGACGAACAAATCTGCACATGTCTGGCTGCAAGGCGGCCTGTCGGCCTGTCTGTCTTGTCTTGTCTTGTCTTGTCTTGCCTTGCCTTGCCTTGCCTTGCCTTGCCTTGCCTTGCCTTGCCT